GTCGAGTTCGGGAACTGCTTTCGTAGTGATGACATCGCGAGCTGTTCGGAGGCTCGTCTGAAAGCGATGACCTCCAAGGCTCCCTGGGTGTGATGGTCATCGTAGAGCCTTCGTTGTAATTTCAGTGCTCGGCCCTCGTCAGTGTCCGGGTGGACTCCCTCGAGGTATCGAGCGGCCGGCAAAACTGCTCCGGAGCTGCTGCCGGGCGTTTGGGAAAACTGCTCGATGGGATCGAGCTGAGTCGCCGATGTCTCGGGGAACTGTTCAATCGGATCCGACTCAATCGGGGACTGGCGAGAGTGTGCCATCACTTCGGGTGGATCGGGAGGTTCGGGTAACACGAGTAGAGCTTGAGAGGTCGAAGTCTACGGAAGCCAAGCAATCTCCAAGGAGAGAGCAGGCCCCACTACAACTAGTAGAGCCTGATGCAACCGAGTAACATGTCCTACAAGCAAGCACATTTGGTCTTGTCGTCGTATGTAACGAGTCATTCGGGAGGTCGAGACCTACGGGTCAGGTGGACGCATCGCCGAGGCGGAAGTCCCCTTCTACCGAAACGGTCACTGACCCGGAAACACCCGTACATCGCCGAGGCGGAAACGGGGAGACCGTGAGACCTAAAGGTCGGGTAGGCCTCGTGTAAAGGCTCACGCATTCTCGCGGAATCGCAGGATGAAAGCCGGCGGCTCCGCGGCTATCATCGATCGCATTCGCTCGTGTTGGGCGAAGGCACTTCGCATCGCCGGTGAGAGCATATTCGAAGTGCATGAAAGGATCGCCGAGGCCTGCTCCCGAAAGAAGGTCTGCATGGGCTCGAAGTATGGCATCTGCGCCGCGAAGGTGTTGAGATTCCTCGCCGTGTGGCACCAAATTCGGAGTCGGTTCATCCGATCTTCCACCGAAGTATGGTTCAGGTCGGAGAGAGAGGCGGTGATGCTGTGCCATACCATCGAGTAGATCAAGGTAGTCCGGGGTTCCACGAAGTTATTCGGGACACCCAGGAGCAACACCCGTTCCTGCAGTACATCGTCTTGCGGGGTGTGGATCGGGAGGTCGATGTAAAGGCCGTATTGGGTGAGGTAGCTCCCGAAAGTAGGGCATCGGAGTACCTGTTCGATGTAGATGATGCCATCGTACGTGATCTCCCATGGAGTGTCGAAGGCGAAGGAGGAGTAGGGGTGATTGCCAGGTGGCAACATCGCGACATTGTGGCCACCCACCGGCGTCATCGCTTGCAAATTCGCCGACATCATCGGGAAGTTGTCGAAGTGGCGCAGTGTTTGAAAGCCAAACACTGGCTCGTGTGATGTCGGTGCGTTGGATCGGACATCGTCGATCGAAGTGCGCCCCTTCTCCACCACCTGCGAGTCGCGCCACTGCACTCGGAATCTCTCGAGGCATGACTGTCGTGGTGGTTGTGGCTGAACCGCGACCGGCACACTCGTGTAAGGATTCCCCAAGGAGGTCGCGATAGTCGAGGAAGAGGCCGCCCCCGACTCGTTGGTATCTGGCCGGAAGACTTGCCTCGGGTCATTTCGTGTCAAGTCCACAGCAGGGTGGACGGAGAATCTCGGAGGCACGACTCTTCCAAGCCCCGCGGAGCTGTCGGCGTCGGGGTGTGGTCGTTTGGGCATGGCCTTGGTCTTGGCGCTCACGAGAGTCGTAGTAGCGGCAGCCCCAAAGGATGGGTTGATCCACTCGGATTCACTCGCGGAATTGGCCACCGGCCCAGAGCTCCTTGGTTCCATCGATGTCGCAGAGTTGGCTGTAGTAACCACGATCGGAGGAGTCGGTGGTGGTGTCGCGGAATCATCGTCCTCGTGCCAAGGATCTGGCGACCTCGGCCTCGTCTGAGGTGTCGTGGTAGTCGGTGGGGCCGCCGGAGTCGTGGCCGGTGTCGAAGCGGCGATCTCATCCGGGATTTCGACGATCACCGGGGTCTTAGAATCGAGCCATCTCTTCGCCGGCGACGGGGATCTCTTCGGGAATCTCGCCGGAGAAAGTGGTCGTTGTGATCCCCTGGCTGCTCCATCGGCGGAAAGCAGTTCGGGGTTCACGGCCGAAGCTGGGTGCATCGGAGTCCGTATCCGTGCTGACCTGGAAGAAAGTTCTCCTTGGTGTCGGCGGAGTCGGCGTAGTCGAAGGTGCCGCAGATGGGAAAGCCGCCGGAGGTGCTGTCGATGGCGCTGCTGTAGAGGGGGCTGACGAGGGAGCCGCTGAAGGAGGCCATCGGGGTCTCGAAGTCGGGAAAATCGCTCCCCGTGTCGGAGTGGGGTGTTGTCCCCAGGTCGCCGGAGGTCTCGAGTCCTCGCGAACTCTACGGGGAGATCGTCCTCGACGATGCAGGCCATCCGCGATTTCTTGTCGTAGTTGGTGGGCAACATCAGATTTATCCCACGATTCGTAGTCATAGTACCGAAGGAAGTTTGTGCCGAAGTTGAACTTGCGCATCTCGGCGGAACGGAAAGTGGTCATCGAGTCCATGATCCACTCACGAGCCTGTGCTCGGTTGACCTGCTCGATGATTCCGTTCTTCGACGAGTAATGGTAAGGTGGTTCACCTCGACGATTCTGTCGCTGTACTACGAAAGCCTGTCGCATAGCTTCGTCGAAAGTGTGGCCATGTTGATTCCAGCACGTATTGTGGTACTCGCAGCATCCCTGGAACCATTTGTGGCATATGAGGTTGGGCACTACCCACTGTTTGTTGAGGAAATCGGGGTGAAGAAAACCACAATTGGCCATGTTACAGTTCTTCTTCTCGAGAAGGCGGGGACAAAGCTGTCGTCGTATCTCGGAGATGGGTACTTGGGCCGTGTCGCTGACTACTTCGGGGTACTCGTTAAGCATCGACTCAGGAACAGGGGCCGTCATCTTCACCAACGTGCCCTCGCAGAGAAAATCGAACCATGAGTCGGCTCGGGTACGTGCCATGGCTACGAATTGGCTAATCCAAATCGATGGTAATCGAGGTAGTGGGCTTGAGATGCCCTTCGAAGTTCCGCTTTCGAGCTTTAGAGGCAGCGGGTTCGGGAGTATGTAATTCCATGCCAAAATCATCACGAAAAATGTCTGCCAAATGCTGATTATGCAGATCGGTCTCATGCACAAGAAGAGCAGCATCGGTGTCAGCTGGTAGGGGTGCATGATCGGAGTCGGGGTGTAGGGAAGCCTCGACGATCTCGAACGGCACCGTCAGCGGCTCCGCGGACTCGTCGCGGTTGGTGATGTGCAGGTACAGGAAGGCCTCGAGGTTGGGCGGTTTCAGCAAAGTCGCCGCAAGATTGACAATGTCGTTCGCCGTCTGACACTGGGCGATGTGATCGAGTGCCTTTCGTATTTGTCGGGATTGTCGCTTGTTCCAAGCTCCCCACGTCACATCCTCGGGTTTCTCGACTTGAAAATCTTCGAGAACTTGCTCGCGGCTGAATTCCTCGAGCGATTCCTTCAGACTGTCAACAACTGACAGAGAAGCCGTAGTGCTCAAGGTACTGGCCGCCAGCAGCGGTCGTAGTAGTGCTCGGGGTACTGGCCGCCCGGGCGGCTATGACCGAGGAGTGATCCGAGGGGACTGAAACAAAATTTCGCTCAAGCTGTAACAGCTTGAGCCAAAATGGCCACGGAGTATACAATCATTCGACATGAATCGGTGAGTCAATCCCCTGACCGATTCGGTGTTTAAGTGAGATATGAAGTTGTCACTTCGCACAAACAAGTGTGTGCTACACTGCATCACTACCAGTATCGTTGAATGCTACCCCTACTCCGACTGCTTCTGCTACTCCTGAACTTAATACTACCACCACCACTACTACTACTACCACCACCACCACCACCACCACCACTTCCTATCACTGCCACGACCACTGCTACTGCTACTACTGGTGCTGCCATGACTTCTCCTGCTACTCCTGCTACTTCTACTGCTACTGCTTAGTGCAGTTGGTTTTCATGCTACAACTGGCTAATTATTGACATGAAAGCTACAGAAGTCGTGGCGTCTAACTCTGGCCTGTGATGAACAGCGGAGGTGCCCAGCATGAGTGCGAAGTGTAGACGGAGTCTTTACCCGAACAAAAACATCGGCCTGTTCAGATTAAACTGCCTCGGCCCATTGCTCTGCTTGTGTCCTTCTTGAACCGACATGCAAAACGCATCCTGATTGAAAAGTGGATGATCCACAAATTGACGCAAGAGGTGCGGTGGGAGCTTGTCAGCTGTGTTCCACTACAGGAGATGTTGTGTGCCGATGAGCTAGCATAAGCTGGGAGCGTTTTTGGTGTAACATTCCTCGCCTGTACGGCTACATCAGGCCAAATGTGGACGTAAACATATGCTCTGAGACCTGGGCCAAGACCTGCAAAATTCCCGATGTAAGCCTCAAGAGATGATGTCGATTGAGGTGGGCATCTGATCTGCTGCCACAACAGGCCAGATCTAGCGCCCTTCCCGGTCCGGCGAAGTCTCTGCACCGTCGCTGTAAGGAGCGATGCGTGTCCACCAGCCCCACAGCAACAAGTAACAGCAACAGCTGTCACGGCAGTCTCCGGCCCAAAGGAAAAGCCAGCTCACGGGAGTCTTCAAAGCTATCATCATGCTGCAGTTCAAGCACTCGTCTGATGAGTACATCACGTATACCTCGCCTTGGAGCTGGAGCTAAAGGACAGTGGAGACGTGGAGGCATTAGGGGCTTAAAATCCTACTAGCACGGGCTTAGGGACCGTGACTTGAATCGAGGAACTGTCTCCTGACCTGGCAACACCTGTGCAAGCTCCGGGTGCTCATACAGCTAGGTCCAGCTGGGTCTTCAAACATTGCGTGCCACGACCATATAAATCAGAACTACAGTAATCAATGATAAGTACAATCGCCAGAGCTGGAGCAGCCTGGTAATGGGTGGGCTTCTGACAGCAAAGCTGAGGGCCTGAACTGCAGCTGCAATGCATGTCCCTGCGAGCAAACACTTAAAAAGCATGTTCACCGACCGGCAAGAGGCCTCCTTAGCTAGACTGCCGACCTCCCAGCTCTCCCAACTTACTGGCGAGGCGGCCAAACCACTGAGCATGTCCTTCTCGACCCGCGCCATCTCGGACAAACGTTTTCCATGCCAGAAAACAGGCCCGAAGCTGGACGGTGCCGTTTGCTCCTGGCATGAAACTCATGATTCCTGCTTGCCAGCTACGGATGGGCGTCAGGATCTTGGTCACGACCTCGTCATCTCCGTACAGGTCTGAAGCTTCATCGATTGTGCCGTACTGCTCGAGCAATGTTTTGACAAAGGTCTTCGCATACATGGCAAGCAAATCACGCTGCTCGCTCCGCCCCATAATCTTGTGAAGTGCCGAGGCTTCCACTTGGAAGAAGTGCGTGGACTGGTCTGCGCATGTCATGCGCCCCCGGTGCTCCCAGGATATCCAGAGAGAGGCCTCGCAAGCCCTTTGTTCTGGCAGCACACTCTCATAAACTTGAGGTGCCTGGTCCCAAGAGTATTGCATCCTTCCGCTTTGAATGAAATACATGGCGGTTCCCGGCATTCCTGATTGGAAAAGGTCCTCACCGTAGATGATACTGGACTCCCGTAGTGCTTTGTGGCACATCCGCGCGACGTCTGCCAGGCTAAGGTAGGTCAGGTATTTGAACACTCCGTGCTGTTCAAGCACAGGGAATCCCACCTCCTCCTGTAAGCGGCAGAGGAGGTTTGCCGGCAAGTTCTGAAGAACCTTGATGTCTGAGAAGACCACCTTGCCAGTGGCTTTGCCAAGTCCTCTCTGACGGATACACGCTAGGACCTCGCTGGAAAGGTCGGCGGAAACGCGCTTGTCTCCGACATATCGCCGGACGAGCTGGTTTTGCTTCGTCTCCTGTGCGGTCAGGCTCCGCAACTTCGAGAAGGACTGGTTGATGGTACCCAGAAAGAAACCTCGGGAAACATGCATTCGACATCCTATGAAGAAACCAGCAAATACTTTGAAACATGCGAAGACCGAGGGGCTGAAGGCAATCAGACCCGCCAGGCAAACCACCACAGAGAAGATCCGCTCAGGTGTGTTCACAGCTGAGACGTCCATGGCGGCTGGAGTGAACTGGGTCAGCGCCTCAGCTTCAACGGATCGGGCACATGATGCCAGCCTGCCTAAGCAGAAAGTCAACCGTGTCGACAAAAGAGTTCCAGGAGTGAAATTCCTGAAAGCTGTAACCTTGACCAGAAAGACAATGATGCCAAATTTCAGCACGCACACCCACTGCACCGAGGTCCTCGGCGGCCCAAGCATCCGACATGGTTCGTGCGCGTTCAAGTCTTCGTCCAACTTGCACTTACAACGTGCTTGGTGTGATGCTTATCATTATGCGCATAAATTATTAGTTGCTGCCCTTCATCCGGGCACCCACAGCGAGAAGCATCCGGCAATTCTGGGTGGCTTTGGAATGTCACGGCCCCTGCTACCCAACTAGCCCACCTACTGCCACAGCCACTGAGAAGTGTGTGCAATTCGCAGTTCTGCTTTCGGTTCTACTTACAGTAAGCTTCTCCGCTCATTTTGCTTCACGGGTCATCATCAACAGCCAAGACTGGCAACTGCTTGGCTGTGGAATCATAGTTTGTCATGCGGGAGAGCAGAACCACTACCTTCCAGGCAGCTGTCCTGCCTACGCCTGATCACGAGGCGACCTTATAACATGAAGTCTTCCGAAAACCGCAAACTGTTTTTGAAGACGTCAGGGACTTGGCAGGTGCTGCTTGGCAGCTGCTCTCATCACATGCCTAGAACATCCCACACAGACCATGGAACTTCGGGAAAACACGCTATGGTCCACAATGTCTCCAAACTCAAGATTTCAGCAAGGGCTCATGTAGAAGTAGAACCATCCTGCAGAATTGCTGAACTCCTCGCCCCTGGATGCCGCATGAGCCTTCACCTCAGGCTTGTGTAGGACAGATAGCTAAACGTGGCATCAACGCGCAATGCCACAGTCTGTCGATCTCTGTGGCCCTATCCACAGAAGGACCAACACAACGGCGAGCGGCCCAAGTGATCTCAGCACTTGACATACCACCCAGGGCATACCAAGCACAGCCTACGAAGTGGCACAGCAGAGCGATGACGCCCAAGTGCTGCAGCACACCTGGAGAGCACCAGCAACTACTCAAGAACCCCACCCTGCCGTCACCGGAGCCGAAACTGGAAGCAACGTACTTCATTACAAGAGTTGCCTACTTTCTCACAGCATGGCTGGGACGAACACATCTCGAAAACAGCCCAATCTAATTTCGCGCATGCAGCTATGCTGGACTCGGATGGTGAGTCAACTGCTTCGCATCACTACTCAATGAGGGCCCTAGAAGCCTCTGCAGCTCTAGAACCTTTACCAGACTGCTTCAAATCTCGTGCTAATGAGCACGCTCAAAGGCACCTGCGAGCGGCCGAGTTTCCTTTGCCATTGCTTGCTCCACACACACACACACTCACACAAAGACAGAGAGCGAACGGTTTGGGTAGGTAACTCCGCGAGCCCTGGGAGGCTATCTTTCCTGATTTACCGGTTCAGGGTTCCGGGCGGAGTGCTTTGCAAGAGCAGCCTTTGGTTCCGATGTGACATGCCAGCCTTGAGAAATGCACCACCCAGAGCGGAATCTCAGATATGCCGCTGCAGAAACATACAGCCCGGACTGTGTTTGAGGACATGTGTCGAGCACAGTGTTGGATGCATGCTTGTTGCCACCTCTGCAGCCTGGAAAGCCCCTGTGTGGCTCTCTGGAGCCCCACTGTTGCAGCAATCCGGAACACAGCATCATCAGCATCCTTCGAGATCATGTTCTCGCAGCGGGTTGGACACGAGAGGTTCGGCAGGGTTGAACCACAGAAGTGCCATTGCGCGAGGCTGGAGGTGCTGTTTTGACGTAGCGTGCACCAGTAGGAGGCAGCCACACTCATGGCTACTTGGGACAAACACAAAGTGCTTTTGTTGGAAATCGTTGGAGGTTTTTCGCCTCAGTATCAATTTGCTCTACGCTGAAAGGTTTCACCAAGACCTGAAACCTTGAAATCGGGCTCTATACACCTTGACGTACATTACGGATGTCAGTTTCGGAGACCCAAGTGCCTGCGAAGGTGGCAAAATAGACGGACGTCCATTCCAGCTCGTACCTGGTGACGGCGCGAAGCTATGGCTCGAGTCTTGGAGCACGCTGGGCTTCTGGCTCAGATCAATGGCGGATAAGATCTCGCACGAACATGGCCAGAACTTCACAGCCAAAACCAGTCAAGACCAGGCAATGCTTCGGGAAGGTACTCCAAAGTGAAGAAGAGCTCCCGCAAGATCGTAAATCGATCCGACATCTTCCTTAGCGGGCTGCACTTCAGATTCCGGCGACCATGTTTCTGGTACCGTAGTCGTTCGCCCGTGCAAAATTGTTATTTCTTGTTTTTGCTCCAGGTAGGACACCCTGAGTCTCGGATTCCGAGACTCTTGACAACTCTCCCAAACCCGCTGAAAACAGATTCAGATGAGCTTCAGCAGTCGGAGCAACCGAAGGTTTCGCAGCAGGCGAAGAAGGGTCAATGCATCCACAGTGTCATCCTCCATGATGAAAAGCGAAACAGCCTTACTCGAGGGAGAGTGTCTCTGCTCTTGCAAGCCCTCAATGCGACAGCTTCAGAGGGTTGCGGGTTGATGATAACCGAAGGCCATAAAAATCTAGGCCAGCATCCGGAAATATTTGGTTTTTGGGTCTGTGTGATAATTTGAAGACCCTTTGACATGACGAACTGTGAGCTGCCAACACCTTTCAAGAGCTGTCTGGACCTTTCCAGCATGGCTGCACCTGCATCAGCCAGCTCACGGTTCCAATGCAGACGAGCAACATCCAAGAGGATCATGGAAAAGTCTGCCATGAACCAATGTGTCACGTAGTTGCGTGCTATGCGCCTGAATCTCATCTCCACAAAGCCTCACACAGAGGATTAATCACAGGGTTTCGGCAACACGTTGCGAAACTGTTAACCTATTCTTAAAAAAAAATCAGTAAAAAGAGTTTCTCCCCTTAAATAATTTTTATAATAGCGTGATTTTTCAAAAATTCTATCAGTGTAATAAGAGTAAAAAGAGTTTTCGCGGGAAAATTGAAAATTTTCCTGAAAATCTTGAATCAAATTTTTTGAAGTGAGATTTTTCAAAATTTCCCGCCTAATCTTTACAATGAAAAATTTTCATGACAAGTTTACAAAAATAATTCCGCTATATTTTTCACAAATTTATGTAAAATATTTTACAATAAGATTTTCAATATTTTGTGTTAAAATTTATTGTATATCACCCAAAAAATTATTTTTATGGGTGTAAAATTAAATGAAGTAATAAGTGATGTAATAATATTTATTCAATAAGGCGCCTCCGCGCCTAATTGTCTCACAAATTCATGTAATAATTCATGTAATAATATTTTATTTAATCTTACCACCTAAATATTATAGTCTATATTTCTTTAAGACCTTTTTACCCTAAATCGTGTAATTATTTCATGAATATTTTTGTAGTTAAAATATTATGTAAAATATTTAATTGAACAAGGTTAGTTGAAATCTAACTGACCATTCCAAATATTATTCATCTTCTTCAGTTAATGGTGAGTATGGTTAGATATGGGTAGATTTGGGCAACATTTGAATTCTATATTTGTCTGAGGACTGTGCCCATGACATTACAAAGATTTTTAAATGGTACTTTAACCCACCATACTCACCATACTCACCATACCACCATCTTATCTATTATTATATATTAAATAAGTATAAGAAATATATATAATATCTTAATATAAATATTGTTATCTTATACAATATGGTTAGTTTTATGGTGAGTTTTGTAAATATATTGTTAATATGGGTAGTTACCTTATGTGATTTTATTTTACTATTTTTTGAAATACTAATCATAATATAATTAAATATTATGGTTGTATTTTGATTTACAAAACAAGTTGTGGACAAAAGTTGAGGTGTGTTTTGCTATTCTTGTGCTTTTGCTGTTCCAATGTAATTTTCAAAATTTCATTAAAATCTTTTATGGTTCTTTCAACATTCATTTTTGTTCTTATTATGTAATCTTTTATAAAAACTTTAATGTCTTTATGTTTATAGTTGTATAGCAAACTATGATGAATATCACACATAAGCTCATATCGTTTTGCACTTATTTTCATTTTTGTTTTCAGATATTCAAGACTTGCCAATTTATAAACAACACAAAAACAAACAATATCATCTTCAGTATTTCGGCAGTGTCTTCTATTCTTACGAATATGACAAGCCATTAAGCCTAATTCGTTTTCCCAAGTTTCCACTTCAGCATCGGTAGGTTTGTTATGATTAAATTTGATTATCATATTTATTATATTGTATGGTAAATTTAACTTGTATAATTCCATGTTTTCTTCACAGAACCAATCAGATTTAAGTTGATGTTCAATATATTTTCTGATTTCTTCATATGTTTTAGACATTGTATTTCAATATTTTAATAAGTCGTTATTCCTGTAAGACCATTTTAATAATATTTGCTAGTTTCATTGTTATATTTAATGTTAAACTTGTTCAGCATTTCTTCTCTTACAGTTTTTTGAATATTGTTTTGCAACTTGTATAAAATGTCATACCGCTGTTTTCTCCATTTAGGGTCTTTTGGTTGTTCATCTTTTACAGTGTTTACTTCGTTTTTTAACTCGTCTCTCTCCTTTTCTAGGCTTGATAGCTTTTCATTTAATTGCTTTACTTCATCTTCTAGTTGCTTAATCCGTTCATCTTTGGCTTTGTCGGTTTTCTCTTGACTCACCACTTTTAAGTATTTATGTTGGGCTGTTTCAACGCTATGGCGCATCTTTCTAGCCATGGTTTCTTTTTCCTTGTAAGTTAAACTGAAGTTGTTGTAAAAATGGCTGATGTACACAGAACGCATGGTATCAATGTCAATTTTATCTACCTTTGTTATCTCTCGTAAATATTTTAGTAAGGTTTCATCCTGTATTGGTTTACCATTGTTTTCAAATAAGTAGGCACGAGGGTATTTTTCAATTGAATAGTAAATTAAATCAATTAACTCTCTATCTTCAACATCAACATAATTTCGTGTAAAATCATCTTTATAATATCGTGTATTGCTCACCTTATCACGTCCAACATAAAAACTAACTCGTCGCCTTCCTGCAGTATACAGCTTTATGTAATTTTGTTGCTTATCAAAACCGCCTTTGGTGTGGACTTCTGCGCTTGTGTAAAAAACTCGTTCTCAAAGGCGGTTGTTTTATGAGCAAACTCAACAACAAATATTGCAAGTGTGACCTGTATGTTTTGATTTCTTTGTAATCAATTGAGTTTAGTATATCAACAAAATAACTGTAGATAACTGTAGTCTCTGTAGTTTTGTTGTTTCCGTTCACTCAACACATTTTCGCTATAATCTTCGTCACGCTGTTTTTTCAATTTATGCCCTAGATTTGTAAAATTGATTGCCATTGTGTCATTTGGTTTATTTAATTTTAGCCATTTGGCAACCATAAAATAATAGCTTTCTTTTGATGATATTGATAAATCAAGTTTGTTAATGAATTGTTGTAGTTTTTTCTTATTGTAGCTGTAGAGGTAATTGTCTTGTTTGAGTTCCTTGTCAGTTTCTTTGAGTTTTGTGTATAGTGCATTGTATCTTTGTTGGTCTTGTTTGTTCCATACTAATTTCTTACTCTTGTTCTCGGTCATTAAGATATTAAAATGGTTTATCTTTAAAGCTGTTTTTCAAAAGTTGTTTTTACAATGGGGAGAAACTCTATTTACTGATATTTAAGAATAGGTTGACGAGTAGGTGTAGGCAACCCTAATAAAACCCCTAAATATAAGCAGAACCCCACGCTTCGAGCAAGTGGGTGGTTGGCAGAACCATCTTCGACAACGTCATCATCACCGATGAAGGACAGATTTGCTTTGCTTAAGTTTGTGAGCGTGTGGTGCCGATTGCAGTTGTGCACAGACACAGCCATTCGAAGCGACAACTTGATTTTGCTTGCGTGATTGTAGCGGTTTCTTTTCAAATTCGCATTTGGCGATAGGCACTTCTTCAAAGTTCCCAGCGCCATGCCCATGTCCAGTCGCGAGTTCTTGGAGCGCATGTGTGCAGGCCAGCAAGTGGTCATCAATGAACTTCGTGTGGAGAGAGATGAAGCCCTTCTCGAGGAAAAAACAAAAAAAATCAGGTGCTCAGGAAGTCGCTTGAAGCCCTGTGTTTCCGTCGCTTCCGCATCAGTGATGAAAGTGATGCAGACTACGGGAAGTTCACCCCCGCACAGTTCGACATGATTATGGACGTCATCTGTGACGCAAACACATGGTGGAGCTTCGCATCTTTGCAGAACGGCTTGAAAAGCGTCTTCACCGACATCACCAAGGGGTTCGTCGCTGTCTACTACGTGAATCCAGTAACGTTTGATGTCGAGACCTACCACATCCAGCTTGATGAGCAGGATGTTTACAGGTATCAAGCCGTCGATGACAATGGTGATGACAGGGAGCTTTCATACGGCGCCTCTTCTTCGGACATCATGAACAACATCCTGCAGAAGTATCGGGGAAAGTTCGAAGCAACCAACCAGCAAATCTTCTCAGAACGCACCATCCAACTCGCAGAGTGGGAAGTGCCAGAGTTCTCCGTGCTTGAGCCTTACTTGCAAACCTTGATCGAGCAACAAGCCCGACATGAATTCAACAGGCAGTATGAAGAGCAGGAGATTGAAGATCGTGATGAACCAGAAGACATCTTCATCGACATCAACAAGCCTCTCGTGATGAAGGTCGACGAAGAGTGGGGCAGGATGTTCTGTGAGGAGGTGATTGAAAATGTAGCCAATGATACTTTGCGTGAGCACTTCCGTTGCCCCCCTGATTGTGTAGATGAAGCGAGCGACATCTTGCTTAACATCATGATGGAGGCTTGGCCAGTCTACTTAAAGGGTGATACCGACATCGAGGACGTCCTCGACATCGTGCGCGATAACGTCCTGAACCATCCAGACCTTCAGCAATTTCTGCCGGATGATGACGATGACGCCGTGTCAAGCGACACTGACGTGTAGGAGTGCCGATTTTTGTAAATTTGTTCCGGCGCCCTTTTGGGTGCCCTTGTATAGTGCAAGGTTGCTATGTCACGCACATAGAAGACTTCTTATATATACCAGATAGATGGGGAAGCCTTGTGCAAAGCGTCATCAGGCCTACAGTTCCCTGCAGTTCGCACAGATACTGCCACAGCAAAGAAGCTGAAAACATGAACCCCATACTGTCGCATTGCATTTGCCCATTGCTTGAGCGAGCAAATTTGAGCATTGCATTCCTTGAGGTCTTGATGTGTAGTGAACGAGATTTCCCGAAGCACTTGTTGCCACAGTTAGTTTTGCCCGTAGGTTCCTCGGTAGCTCTGAAGCAAGATGGTCGGTAAGTCTGTCGTGAAGGAAGCTTTGAAATCCTCCAAAGTCAGCAAGAAGACCCTTGTGAAGAACAAAGCTCATGAACTCGGACAGGCTATCCATCACAAGACCTTTGACTGTGCCTCGCTGAAAGAAGCTCAAGGCATTGTCGCCTTTCTTGCTTCTGTTCCAGACCATCAATCGGGTGAGCTCTTCGCTTCGGCAGTGAACAGAATGACAAAGGACGAGGTGCAGAAGTGCCAGAAAATCCTCGACCCCAAGATGAAGACATATGGCTCTACTGAAGCAAGAGCGGAAGAGCTTGGCAAGGTAATCCTCGCAAAACCTTTGCAAAACCTTGCGCAACATGTGGCTGACATCGAGCAGTTGAAGATTTCCATGCTCACTTCCACGCTGTCGCACTATGGCAACTGGTGCATGAAATGTGAACGGCATGATAATTCGCTTATGAGCAAGCTTCTCGAAGACCGATTGAAAGCGCTTAATGGTGCTTCAGTTGCTTCTTCAAGTGACGTAGACATGTCCACGCTAACCAATATGATGGAGAAATCTTCCTTGGCTTCTAAATGACGAAGTCGTGTTAAGTTGTGCTTTTGAAGCAACCCTGCTAGGAAATAGTTTCAAGTCTGTTGGGCTACAGTTTCAAGTCTGTTGGGCTACAGTTTCAAGTCTGTTGGGCTACAGTTTCAAGTCTGTTGGGCTACAGTTTCAAGTCTGTTGGGCATTAGTTTTAACATTTGTGGGTATGGCATCAGTTTTGAAGCATAACTTGTGCGCACACAGCCTTTTGATATAGCATTGGCTCGCGCGTTGCACACAGGAGCTCTCCGCTTGTATTCGGTGAAGCAGTACAGTTCCCCTGTGGTCATAAGCGTCACTGTGCATCACTGAACTGTAGGTGCACCAAAAAGATGAGCTGGCTCTTGCATTGCATTCTCATGCCAAGCAGTGGCAGTTGAGCATTCGCGCTCACACAGCTAAACCCTAAACCCTAAACCCTAACTCCCACTACTTCCCACCGCAACTCGCCACCCCTCGCGAGGATATCGTTTTCTACGATGACCACGGCATCACCATCGACGGCGTGATTTGGGACTATCACGACAGCGCCGTGGCTGGGAGGGTTTGGGCGTTCAGGGTTGCTTCGGCGTTTCTGGGTTTCCGGTTTGCTCTGCCGTCTGTCTGCGTTCTGTGTGCGCCTCCCCTTCCCCACTCCTCTCCCACTTAACCCTGCCACAGGTCTACATCGTCGTCTACCTCAGCGAAGCCGAGCACGACATTGCCATCACCATCCGCCTTGACGACTACCTCTACAAGTGCCATGGGTGGTTTTTCAGGGTTTTTTGATTAATTTTATATTCCATTTAAAATATAAAATCAATCTTTCAAAATTTGTGATTTCATTTGTTTTTGTGCTCTACAGAACTTACAAGAACGAGATTTACATGAGTTTTTATTTACAATAAAAACATTTTTGGGGAAATAATTACCACATGTTTTACACTTTATAAACTCTTCTTTATCTTTGGTGTCGCGTAGCACGCGAGACTCGTTCCTCGCGTCTTTATTTAAATCTATTTCATTCTTCATTAGGACTATAATATACTTTATCTTTTTGATTATATTTAATCTTATAATAATCTAATGTAGTTTGTTTAGGTTGTAAAATTTCTTTGTTGTTAAGTTTTGTAAGATAAACATTTTTTATTCTCATATGTGGCTCCTTTATCGGTATTAGGCTGCATGTATCGCGGTTTAGTGTTCTTTTCTATATTATCAATCTTTTCTTTCATTTCCTCTAGCATTTTCATTATTTCAAAAGTTTTAATAAAACATGTTTCATCTAATTCTTCTGTTTTACTCATATATGTATATTAAGAAAATAAGTTTTTAAATAAAAGTTATTGAAAAAAGTTTTATATATTATTTTTAATGTTCAAATTCTTGAATCTTTTGTTAGTATCCTTTATGGATGCTTCTATAGTTGGCTTATTCCATAATATATTCTTAGCCCACATTCCCGCTGTCTCATAATCTTTCCAGTCCTGATTAACTTTATGTCTTGCTATGTATTTTTCTTTCCTTTCTTCGTCCTTATGTTTTGTAAAATCACTATAGCCTTTAGCACCACATGATACCTTCTTCTTACCATCTATAACAGCATCATATTTTTTATTAGGGTTTGACGATTTCTGTATAACAACTTCAGGCATATTATTAATCTACTTTAGATTTTATTGAATTAATAATATTTATATCTTTCTTAATCTCATCAACATCTGTTTCTAACTTCTCAACTCTTTCCTCTAATTCTTCAGGTGTTATTCTGTTATCTTTGTTATTCCATCCCGTGTCGCATATTTCAACTGAACCCATTCCCGCCAAATTTCATATTACGCTTGTCAACAACTAGTGTTGTTGTTGTTTTGTCAGTTTCTGTTATAGTTTTAGTTTCCTTGTGATATAATTGTTTTTTACATCTGCATGGATAGCATGAGACACCATTAGCACTTATTTTAAACCCTTTGTCTTTGCTACTATCCTCTGTTGCATCACTCATAATATTAACAATTAGATTAAATGGTTAATAATATGATTTTACAACTTGTGACGATAGGGGTTTTCTTAAAAAAACGAATTATCTAATTAACACTTGCTTATGAAGTGTGGAATTTGGGGGCGGTCTTTATTGGCATTAATGCCCTGTCACTCTATTAATGGAAATTTATTTCTAAATGTTTATAATGAGTAATATACCATCAATTGAACCAATTGAAGTTAAACATTATAATTATAAACAGTCTAAATATGATGTGGCTGACAAACTACCTTTTCGGTCAATTATTTGTGCGAGTAGTCAAGGCGGTAAGGGCATTTTATTGCAAAATTTAATACTAAAAATTTATAGAGATTGCTTTCAAAGAATATACCTGTTTTCACCAACAGCCTCTGTGGACGACAATTGGATACCAGTAAAACGCTATATAACTGATGTTCTCAAAGTTGACGACAGCAAGGAAAAATACATATATGATGACTACGACCCTAATGCATTGTTAAAAATTATTGACACCCAGCATAAAGTAATAGAGTTTCAGAAGAAAAACAAAATAAAAGATTTATATTCAATACTAATAGTTATTGATGATATGGCTGAAGACCAGCGTTTTATGAAATATTCAAAACTATTACACGGCTTATACACTAAATCAAGACACAATGCAATGTCCGTTCTAACATCAGTTCAGAAATACAACGCTGTAGCTCCAATAATTAGGTTAAATAGCAGTTCATTATATATTTTCAAATTAAGAAATATGAAGGAGGTTGATGCATTTATTGAAGAAAATTCAGCAATGGTTGATAAAAAAACACTTATATGAAATGTATCAACAAGCTGTAAATTTTAAACCTTATTCGTTCTTTTTCATAAAACTACGGTCACAAGATATTAATAATATGTTTTATACTGGATTAGAGCATGTTTTCAAAATTGATGATGATGATGATTAATAATATTATCAGATCATAATATCATTAATTTAAAAGCTTTAAAATAATGAGTTGCTACACAAATTTATTGCTGGTAAACGATACACAATTTTATCACTTTTCTTTTCTTTCACTTCTCTAATATCTTTTATCATTTCTTTCAATACTTTAATCTGTAGTTTATCAATATTACTTAAATCTAATTCCTCTTCATTAATATTATTTATTTGATTAATACAATCATTCTCATTATCCTTTGAAATTCTACTACCCATATAATGTATTTATATAAAAAATATTTTTTACTTTTTGCTTTTGGTTTAGCTTTTGCTTTTGGCGAGGCTTCAGTATCGCTATTATCTTTTTCAACTTTTTGATTTCCTTCTTTAAATCGTCAACTTCTTTCATAAGTTCCTGAACTGAAGACCATAATACCACATTCATTTTAATGTAATTCAATCTTAAATAATCATCATCGCTGTCTTTCATCACCATTTTTGACCAGTATTTAGGCATCTTTGAATTAGGTATATCTTGCGCTATAAATCCAATTTCCTTTTCTTCTTTACCTTTAAAATTAAATTCTTTAGGTTTAATGTATTTAACAATGTCATAACATGTTTTACTACTAATTTCTTTGATGTTTTCTTTTAGTCTTTCGTCTGATGTTTCTGTAGCAGTTCCATTTACATGTAAGCCAGTGCTTGATACTTCGCATATATTAGCTCCATTTATAGATAAAAATATTAGTCCATCTGCATCTGGATTATTTATTGTTACGTGCTCACTCGTTGAAACTTTTTGATGTGTAATACCTAAATGTCCTAACATATTAACATTTGCTTCACTTACTGATAGTTCGGGTATGCTTCCTACCGTGCCTACAATAAAATGAATTGCTCTGTCAGTGTCTCCATTTCTAATATCTAAATCATAATCACTACCGTTTCAAGTTTCTTTGATACCTGATGAATGTTGAAAAAACATTTCACCCCATACATTTAAATTAGCTTCTGCTGTTATATCTTCGATACTGTTAAATGTTAAATTATTTGTAACTGCTCTATTCATTGTAATTCCTGCCGGATTGTCATTTAGCTGTAAAGCAATAGAAGATGTAGTGGGGCCATTTGCTCTATCACTTTGTAATGAAAAGT